TAGATGCTAACCAGGAGCAAATTTGCTCCTGGTGAGCCCTGCCACTATGGGGCCAGCTTCAGGCTAGCCCTAGGGCCCAAGGGCTGTGAGTCTCTCCTGCTCTGGGGCCGGGCTAGCTCTATGCTGGCCCCAGCCCCAGGCCTGAAGAGGGTCTATCTTGGCTCGATGCCTGGCCCCAGGGCCATCCCTGGGCGGGGAGGGGGCAAATCAGGGTGACCGCCCTGGGCCCTATGCTTTGGGGGGCCCTGTGGAGCCAGCTGGAGCAGGGGAGCTGGCAGGGCCCAGGCTGCCCTGAGCCAGACAGTGGTCACTGCAGCAGCCAGCAGATCCAGCACTGTGGTAAGCAGCAGCCGGGGGAAATGGATGTCACAGTGAGGGCCAGAGGGTGAAGCAGCCATGGCACTGGGGGGCAGAGGCTGCAATGACAAAGCTGCCATGTGCTGCCACCATGCTCTGCATGCTGCTCCCAGCCAGAAAAGCGGCTGGCCAGGAAGCAGCAGGTGGGGCTGCCTTTTGCAGATGGCTTCTGGTCTCAGGCTGCTGCGGCCTGAGAGCCTCCAGTTCCCCCTACTGGCAGCAGGGGCCCAGTGCAGGGCTGCAGGGAACAGGAGCAGCAGCTAATCTGCTCCTGCATCCCTGCACATGTAGATGCATGCCTGAGACAGTTTACTCTGGAGTAGTTTATTCTAGAGTAAACTGCTCACAGATTATTTGCATGTGTATGCGCTCCTTGATTCTTATGTCATCCTTTACCCAGTGGAGAATGAGTGCAAAATGCTACTGTCACTGTAAACAAGTGGAGAATTCTGATATTGTGGTATTTTACACCCATATTTGTGAGTAACAACACTAGGGACAAAGCAGTGGAAAATCAAATGTGGGTATTCATGCACTTTCTGTATGCCAAGTATGAAATCTGCATGGCTGCCTAAAGTAAGTGTGTTGTACAATGAAGCTCACAATAAGCGAACACAGTTAGATCAAAAAGTAGAAGTTCAGCCCTGCTTTCTGTTTTGTCACAAGCTGAAATTAAGACCAAAAAAATGATCCATCCCTTGCTGGAATCTTTTCAGTCTCTTTTTAGGGAGAGTCAGTAATTGCCAAATGTCCCTCTGAGCCTAGCAGTGCCTGCTCCAGGCTAGTATGGTTAAGGCACACTCGTTTCTTTGGCCAACAGCACACAAGGGAGCAATGTGGCTAGCATCATATCTGACTGCCTTTGTCTCCTCAGCTTGAATGACCAGATGCCATTTGGAACTAAGCTGACTGGCAGCAAGCTTCAGCACAAGTACAGAGCAGAGCAAGAACTTACTGGTATGCCTCCAAGCAAGACACTTTAACTATTCACTCACCATGCCCCTATGCGTTAGTATAAATAGTTCTCAGTGCAAACAGTAGCATACTTAAGAAGTTTGTGGACTTGAATACTGAACTAAATCCTGCCTGTGCTGGATCAGAGCATAGAGGATTTGTAGGGTAAATGGCAAGACTTGCTCAGACAGCCTAGTGTCAGGTGTGATGGATGGAGATAGGTGTTAGGGAACATTGTTCTCTTGCAAAAACATTAGAACAGGGACTCTGCATAACACTCCAGAAAGATGCCAAGAATAAATTGTCTTAGGTTCATTGGGAGCATCCTGCCCTCATAACGGGTTAGCATGTGTGTAATAATAAGCTGTAAACTCTAGGTGGGAACATGTTTCTCTTGTTCTGAAGAGCACAGTGTATGCTACAAAGTGCATTCTTTCCCTCCCAATCAATATTTATGTCTTGAACTGGCTGTCATGGATTCAACATTTGGCCACCAGTTAGGGTCTGATTTAACTCTCCTTAGAGGATTTTTGCTTCATTTAACTGATTCTACAGCTTGGCGCATTGTTTTCATGCCTCTGATTCAAAGCATGGTTCTCAACTGCAGATCAGAGATCTCTGGTACACTAAACTACCTTTTGCATTCTCTTGATCCTGGGAGACTACCCAACCCTTGGTATAACTTGAGGCTGTTTTAACTTATACCCAGTGACCTGTGGCTACAAGAGGCTATTGTTGAAGCCAGGGATATCAGAAATGTAGAGAGAACCTGATTATAATCCTTTTCTCCTGGGAATGACTCAGTGACTCCTGCACCAGCCAATTTTTTTTACAGAAAAGGAGTCCCTGGGGAGCCGGCTGAGAAGAGTTTCCAATAAGCATGGCTGGACTAGAGACTTAAGCTCCTCATTTCAGCATATGCAAATGCTATATTATTATATTATGGCTTAAAGGTAATTGTGTTGAACTATTGAGATTGGCAACCTGGAACTTCAAAAGACACCAAAAGCTTTGCAGCATGATTAAAAATAGATATACATATGAAAATTGATTTCATACCATCATTTCAAATTCCAGACTCCTAGAATAGGCAAGGTTTATTTTAATTGAAACCAACCCATTAGTGAATCAAGCAAAATCTAAAAAATATATTCAAAATGTAAGAAAAGTGTGCATCAATTTGTGTTATATATGTCAATATAGCAAAAAACATCACACTTACTTTTCAGTAGAAACATATCATTCAAGGTTGTGACATGTCAGGCACTACTGAGAGCTTTCACAACTTGTCAATGCATCTGCTTTTCAGCAATGAAATAACATGTGTTTCACTTCCCTGACATTGATGCCACAAACACCTACAATTCTTAGTGCTTGCTTTTGAACCCAATTACCTGATGTCTGTAAATATGATATGATAAACAGAAGTGACACAATCTTTTACCTATTTTGAAAATTGTTTGGAATAATTTCTTCTATATTAAGCCACCTATAACCATGAGGTTTAAGATACTAATTGTCCAATGGACAATTCCAAGATCATATATCATGGGATTTCTTACACTTTTCTCTAAAACCCCTTGTACTGGCTATGGTGCCAGCACCATTGGTCTTATTATTTATAAATTCACATGGGATAAAAAGAGTATATTTTGTATTTGGTAACAGGAATGTGGCATCTTCTACCCACTGCAATTCTTTGATATAGCATAAGTATTTGACTATCATGAAATGTTTTGTGTGGCTATGCAAAAACCTTCTTAGAGCCCTCTTACAGCAAAACTTGTAACTTGCAGAATTGGATGATATCTGTAATGCCTGGATTTGGTGACAATTAGGCATTTCATCTTTGAAAAGCTACTGTATAGATTTGGAAAGTCCTGAAAGCCACTGCTCTTTGTGCTGAGAGATGAATGAGATGGCCCATAGCTTGACCCTGACAAGAGAGTCTAGCATTTAATGTATTAGTCCAGGTTGGAAATAATGAATTTGGAAAATCCAACTCTTTTTAAATAAGTGTAGCTTTTCATGTGAGCTAAGCAAAAACTGAGCCTGCGAAATAATTCCCACCCTGTTAGGCAGCATGACCAACTCCCCTCCATTTTGATTACATTATTTTGGAGTCAGCCTTAAGAAAAGATGTGGCATATGCACATTGCTAAGCAGGCTCTGGAATATTCATTTTCAGTACAAAAGGAAAGCAAAAAGACCCTGTACGGTTGATAACCACACAACCATAGCCACTATTATTGTTTAACAATCTAACATGTATTTTGCAGTAGTGCTTAAACTTCAAAGCCAGTTGGGTCCCATTCTGGTGGATGATAACACTTCTGGTGTCTTGCCTGTAAAAAAGTAAGGGACAGAAAAGAGAAGCACCCAGGCAGAGAGGGGAGGAGAGTGCCAGGTGAAAAGAAAGAAAGGCGATTGCTCTTATTAAGCAAGTGGTGCTCCAGAGGGTGCCGTCTGCCTACACTGCCTTGCTTTTATGTCGTGGTGACAAACGTCAGAGTCTCACTGATCAGGGTCTAAGCCTGAGGGAAAAAGCTGAGGGCTGACAAACAACTCTCCTTCTTCCAAGAGCAGTGGCAAGAGGAGCAAACACAACCCGGGTGGGGAGCGGAGGTGGGGGGGGCCCCTTGTGCCAAATGAACATGAAGTGGATTTAGGCTTCGTGCCCCCTGAGGGGGCAGAGCCCTCCCAGAGCTATGCTGCTCATGCCGGGCGCTCCCACTTCCCAGCAAGCTGCCACGGTACTTGTCATGAAAGGTGACACCCTCAACCCCCACGGCTGCGGGCTGCCCACGCGGGCAGCATGTGCAGTGGTGTGCATTGAATGCCAGGACCCCTGTGTGGGGTGGCGCGGGGCTGGCAGCTGCTTGCACAGGCGGGGAGGGACAAGGGGCGGCTGCGCTGTGGGATAGGGGTCTGGGCTCCTTCCCCATGCCTGTCCCCCATGGATTTCGGTAGGGGGGATGTACCTTCCCTTCAGTGTATGTGTGTGTGTCTTCCCCTCAGTGTGTGTGTGTGACTGTGTGTGTCCTCCCCTCAGAGTTTGTGTGTCTGCATGTGTCCTTCCCTGAGTGTGTGTGCCTGTATGTGTAAGCTTTCCCTCAGACTGTCTGTGTCTGTGTGTGTGTCCTCCCCTCAGAGTGTGTGTCTGGGTGTGTGTCCTCCCCTCAGTGTGTGCGTCTCCGTGTGTGTGTGTGTGTGTGTGTGTGTGTGTGTGTGTGTGTGTGTGTGTGTGTGTGTGTGTGTGTGTG